CTATATACTATACTCTATTCTGGAGCATGCTATGCTATGCTATATGCTATACTATATACTATACTCTGTACTGGACCATGCTATGCTATGCTATATGCTATACTATGCTGGGAACCAGTTCTTTGGCTCTTTTAACACACTCGCTGTAGTTGTTCCACATTAGAACAGTTATTGAGCTAAAGTGATGTAGAACACAGATATATACATGAACAGTGAAAGGCTGAAGGTACCCTCCCATCTTAATTCAGCTGACCTTGATTTATAATCCTGTGGTAAATCTTCACACAACTGTTGCTCATTCCTTACAATGATCCCTGTAGTGGCTGCTGCTCAGTGACTAGAACTCCAGCTGACTGGTGTTACAGCCACACTTCAGCTCCTTCATGTACGGCACAGTGGCATCCTATTGCTTATGAGTCTGTGTTTCACACAAGTCTTGTCTTTGTGCAAATCACAAAGTTGCATTGGTGGTGAGGTCCACATTAGGATACGCCGCGTACAGAAGTCTAAATCAAACTGAATTCATGCCATGCACCATTGAAGACAAAAGACAGGGGTTGAAAGGAGCTGAAGTGTTCTATTGTTTACCGCAGATCTAATCCGGTGGTGCCGAATGCTGCTGGCCGCTCCGCTCACAAACCCTCATCTTTATTTTGCAGCCTGCCTTCGTCCGTTCTCGTCACTTTTCTCGTCACGCCAAGACACGTCTTTAATCATTCATACTCAATTTAGTGTGAGCTATGAATATTCCCACCGCAGTCACCGTTCCCGCTACGCAAATGGCCGTAATCACTCACTTTAATGTGCCCGGCCAAGTATAGCCAGCGCAGAGGCAACAAGGATGTGGTGGCGAAACAGAAATTATTGATTAGCCCGGCTGTGGCTCTGACGGACGTCTCGGCCCGTTTCCTCTCCTGCGTCCACCAGCACGTTTATGGAAAATTTATTGCAGAAGACCGGTGGCTTGGTGTCGCTGGACCGCTTGTGTCATCGTGTTTTTCACCAGCGCAGACTTCCTGTGGGTTTGGTATCAGGGAGGGGAACTGTGGTTCTGCAGGCGCTGGCTGGTTCCAGTGCCCCATCAGGGTTGAGGTGATGTTAAGGTGTTTACAGCTGCTGCTCCTTGTTCTCACCGTTGCTTGACATCCGTATTAGTTTTCCAGTCTTCAGATCTCGGCCTCTGGTGCTCTGATTAGCCTTAATGAAGCTAACTCAACAGTGAACCTGCTGCTGTCACATGGCGCTGGTTCTGGTGTCTCTCTCTGCTGCTGGTTTGTGGCTCCTGGTCTGGGTTTTCAGTCATTTCGTGTCTTTGCTGTTGTTGTATGTCTTAATTTTGTTTCTCGTAGTCAGCTTTAATCTCTTTGCCATCGTTTTGTCGGTCTTTGTGGGCAGTGTGCACCTCTTGTTTCCTGGTTTGTGTCTCTTGGCAGCCCTTCTTCATCTCATTGTCCTTTGGTATGTGTAACAGGTGGCTTTATTTATGCTTGAAGGGGTTTTGCATCTGTTTGTGTTCATCTAGCATTTCTTTCTGTGTGGGTCTGTCTCTAATTGATCAATTTGCGTCTCTTGTGCGTTATTTTTGTGTGTCTTTGTCGCTGTTTTGAGTCTCCTGGTGTTTGTTCTGAGTACGTTTGTGTCTCTGCTGCTGTTTAGTGTGTTGGACAGTCAACATTAAATGAGTCAAACCCAACAGCCTCCATCTGGGTTCAAAGTTGAGACAACGTGGGCTTGTTCTCCGGTCCTTGTTCCTCCTGCTGATGTACAACTCTTCTCCTGATCAAAGTAAAACTGATGAGATCGCATCGAACAACGGACCGACTGCAGCCCTGATACCTGTAGAGTGGACCTGACGTAGGCTAACTTATTCATCTTCCAGAGGGCTGCAGTACGGCGCAGGTTCAACTTATCCAGGCTTTCTTAGGGTTAGCTGGTTCAACAAAACCTCCAACTCCATAATGGATTCATTCATTCTTCATTCGACTCTGAGCGTGCTCCATAACAGGAGGAGGAGGAGTTATACGTGTCATGTGACTTCTTCTGCAGAAAATAGACCAATGATGCGGCGCTTGCTTCCGTCAGATCAAAGGGCTGTTATAGTGGAGAGCTGTGACGCATGTGAACGGATGATGCTAACAGTTAATACATGAGTTTTGCTGCTCAGTGACTCAGATCAGCTGCTTGTTTCTAGCTTCCAGCTGCACGTCAGAGCTCTGAAACGTTAAACTTCCTTCATTTAAACATCAACGTTCAGGTCTGGGACTGTCCCAGAATGAAGGAGACGCTCAAATCGGTTTAGATTTTAGACAAATCAGTTAAATTAATGTTATTGACTGAATATTCTCAGTGATAATTACCAACAGACTGATCAGTTTTCAGCACAGCAGACTAAACGGACCGGAACCAAACATAGAAACCGACTCATGTGATTTCAGCATCACCAACTGAATACATGTAGGTCACCATGGCAACATGTTGCATCCTGCTGTACGTGCACAGCTTCATTCAGTGGATCACTGACGTACAGATCAGCAGGTTTCCAGATTAAACTTCAGCTGAGACCCTGAATCACTCAGAGAGAAACATCAGGTTACAGGGAGACGCTTCTTAGAGCCCGTTTAAATCCCAAACTCTGAACACAGCCTCCTCCAGAGCAGGTTAACTCTGCAGCATCAGTTACCATGGAGATCAGGCTGTGCAGCATCAGTTACCATGGAGATCAGGCTG